GACTTTAAGGAGAGTTTTAGACCTCTCGAATGGCTGTTGTTTCTATTCCATTTATGTAATTTTCTCGATTTTCTTCAATCAATAACATATTTTCTATTCAAAAATTGCAATTGGAACCTTAACAATGGGTATCAAAGCGGTAGATCCTAATGGCTTAAACAAAGACAATACTTAACCCAGATCATGGCCAGAATGTTGTAATCAATTGAGGCAACTCAGAAGGCTATGGTAGCACTAACACTCCCCAAGGCAATATTGAACAAAATTCTGGAAGGAGAGACTGCGGCAAAGCTAAAACTCCTCAAGACACCATTAATTAGGTGCTCATGGATCAAGTTGTTGCTTCAAAGACAGTGGTTTTTACAGGTCTCTAGCGCGTTGAAAAGGTCGTCCGTCTGATGATGTTACTTGTATTAATGAAGATGAGTTTCACCAACTGGATGACAAGCTATTCGATGCCTACTTGGACTACAACTTGCTGGAGTCGAGCTCTTCTCTGCCTATGCAAAACTGAAAGCGTAATCGAGGAAGAAAAAGAAGTAAATTAATTAAAAAATTCTTTAACTCTAGTTTTTAGTTAGGATTATTACCTTAGTTTCTTATCTAAATTAGGTTCTTGTTTAATTTCCCATGTAGCTTAGGATTGTTTAAACCCCTCGATAGTATTAATTATCTCTTTTAACACCCCAGGCTCAATAGTATCAGTACACTTGTGTATAAAAAATCTTCGCCATTCTTTGTGCTTGTATCAACTCTAAAGATGGAGCCACATTTTATTCGTTTCTATAAATTTTTGCCCCTGAAATATTTCGAATTGTCATTCTTCTAAAAAAAAAAAAAAATAAGGATGATCTTATTCCGTGTTTGCTTCAATATATTTGTATCTGTAGTTGTTTAAAATAAAGCTGTATACACTTCTGGCATGTCGGTGATGATATTACCAAGGAAAACCTAGTAGACGGACATTTGTAGTTTCCTGCAGATTGAAGCTTTTTACATTTTAATACTAGAGTTTGAGTTGCTTTTTGTTTGATACAATTATCTTGTTCTGCATTTAGGGTCCTATTATTAGGGATTTTCAAAAATCCAAAGCCAAATTTTTTTTAAAAAATATATTTGGATAACATTTTAGAAATGTTTTTTATGACAAGAAGGGCTTTTAGAGGAAATTAACATAAAGGAGCTTATCAAGAAGCTATTTTATCAAAAGTATAAATTTTGTCACTTTTTTCTAAAGACTTCGCCCCCAAAAGATATTACTACCACCATTAGCATTTTTTGGAGTTACCCTTATTTTTATTATTTTTTCGTATAAAATGTTTATATATTTTTCATTGTTCCATATCAATTGTTGTAAGGATAATTAGCACAAAACACTCTTAAATTTTCAGTGATATTATGCAAAACGTCTTTATTTTTCATTTTTTGGACATTTTCACCCTTATTGTTACATTTCATTACGAAAAACATCATTTTCATCAATTTTTAATGTAAAATGATCAATATACCCTCATATTTAAATGCAAAAAAGAAAAAAAATAAAGAACAAATTGTAATCTTACTCCTAAAATTTTTAAGAAGTGCAAATGAGTCTACGTAAATTATTAAAAAAAAAAAACTATTTCTCCCATCTCCTCCGCCTCCACCACCACCATCAAATGGAGTTACCACTTTAGAAGTCAAAACATTGAGGACAACCACTGCCCAAACCATCGGACCTCTATATCACCGGAAAACTCTCACTCCCTTCTATACATATCACCCAACATCTAACCTTCATGCCAACAAATTTGGTCGAAATTGCAAACCGAAATACCCAATTTGAGAATGCAAATATCGGCGGCACCACTTGTTCCAACAAGATCCATGCCATTCTCTGCACACTAATAAACTATACATACTAGGACGCCTCTCTTCATGGTCTTAAAACATTAACAGATGTACAAAACCAAAATCTACATCAGCAACTTTCAATATTTTATTGGGCAATTGTTGCGCCTCTAACTGAACCACTTTGGAAAGTCACGCTTCTAATTGAACCACTTCGAAAAGTCCACCACCACATCAGGCGAGGTGTGGAGCGCTCATACGAAGTGGTTCCAATTGAGATGATCTGCTATCATACTACGATGCATAGGTAAAGTGCCCTATCCCCCTAAATTCGAGGCGAAATGATCCCCGTGGACCTCGGCCTGAGGATCCACCGCCAATTTCAGAATGAGATCTTTGTCAAGATCTTTTCTGCCCCTAAGGTTTAAAGTGATTTGACATCTTCATAAGGCTAGTTGATGTGACCTACCAGCTTTATGTCAACTCAACTCGGGAGAAGTAACTACCCGCCCACTCTACAGACGCGGCTGATTGACGCCTATGAGCAGACGCCTCATACCGTTCAGATGTATACACGTGTCTCATATTCAATGGCTCTCCTCACCTATAAATACACAAGGCTTGGCAAGAGGCAAAGGTAATGAAACTCTTCCTATTTAGCATTCCATAGCAAGCAAATATATATTCCCCTCCCCACTATTTTGCACAACCTTGGTACTATACCGATCACCTGAGTCTAACTTGACCGTCGGAGTGTATACGGTCGTCGCCACCCCCGCTGGTCCAGGTCGTGTGCATCTGACCGTACGTTGATTATGCATGGGGAGGAATATGTGGAGTGGCTATCGGTTGGCCACGTAGAGGGTCCAATTTTCGAGGTCAACAGATTGACATCGTTTGTGTGAAACTTCCCGTTCAAAGTTCTACATTCTTTACCGGAGAAAACACCAGAAAACTAGCGACTTACCCTGAAAAGAACACGTTCTTGAAAAAGAACAACGTCGAGTTATATCCTAAATTCTTATCACCCTTGAAAAAGGAGATAGAATGAGTTCCAGCCATGAAGACGACAATCCCATGAGAGAGGTCTCTGCAGAAGAGGTGCTCCATAACAATGTCACTCACCAGAGACTCATCACCGGCGTCACTGAGGTGCAAGAACAGCCATGCACACTGAAGGGATGACTCAAATAGTGGCGGGCATGAGAGACATCGCAGCTCAGAATATGGCGATGCATGAACTTCTTATGCAAGCCCAAGGTCATCAGGGCTATCAAATGTCCCAATGATCTTACCCAGTGCAGGAAGCTCCTGTATCTCGTTCCCGAGGCCATATGAGCCGGCACAGAGAACGCCCCTTCAAAAGAGAAGTGGGCGCGGAAGCCACATCCTATGTGCAGGGAAGCTAGTCAGTGGAACCACAGTTAGGGAACAATTTCCCTCAAGAATATGAGGAACAAAGATCAGTAAGCATCTTCGATCGAATAGGGCAGGACCCTAGTAATAGGGCCCGCTTAGTGTAAAGATCAGTTCGGAAAGATCAGGAACAAGAACAGCCACCTCCTCCTAGAAATAGGAGGGATAGAAGGAACATAGTCGATTGGGGAAGATGAGGAGAAGCACCTCCACCTCCCCAGGATATTCAAGATGATAAAGGGTCAGATGGGCCCTGTCGATCTTATGAGATCGATGACGATGATGATAACCTCCATTTTTCGAGGGAGATCCGAGGTTTTTCGATGCCAACGAATTTCATGCCCCCAAGATCTCCAAGTATGAGAAAAAGGGGATCAGGAGGAGCACCTCACGAAGTACATGACACAGATGAGCCTCAGGGGAGTATCGCCTGCTTTGAAATGCAGAGCCTTCCACTTAACCCTGGGCGGAGCTGCTGAAGTGTAGTATAGCAGATTTCCTCCCCTGAGCATTAGCAGTTGGCCAGATTTGAAGAAGACATTCTTAAATCAATATCTCTCACGCAGGGAGGGAGTGGCCCTAGTGCAACGCCTGCAAGATATGAGACAGGCCCCTGGAGAGACTCTGAAAAGCTACCTCGCTAGGTTTACAAGCGAAATCACATACTACGAATAGGTTACTGACAGGGAAGCCCTTTCAGCTCTGAAAGGTGGCCTCAAAATGAACACTTTGTTTTGGAGAGACGTGCGCAACAAGAATCCTGCCGCCTATAACGAACTGGTGGAAATAATGAGAGTGGAAATCGTCAGTGAGGAAATGATTGATCACCAAAATCGTGCCGCGCAAGAACTCCCTCCGCCTTAAAGGCAGGTAGGTCAAAGACCTGCAACACACCTTGTCACTCATCAATGGACTCAAGCGGGTCATACAATAGCTCCCACCTTCGGACAGGCACTGGCTTCCGCCACATTGAATGCAATCCCGATATTGGCATATGAGAATGCTCCTGGCGAAGCAGGACCATCCGGAAGAGCTGATAATAATAATAATAATAAGAAGAAGAAGAAGAAGAAGAAGAAGCGATCAAATAGGCCCTTGGAAAGGGCAAGATTGGGCATGACACTAGTGAATGTCGAGACGCTAATCGATGTCCAGATCGAGGCAACCCACATCCTTCCAGCAGGAGCGAATATCCTCGCATGTCCGCCTCCTCGAACAGGGAAGAGAGAGGGCATACAGAGCAATTACCCCGGAGAAGAGAATCGAGAGACCGAGGACAGTCTAGACTGAGAGATCAGGCCCCATTCTCTGGGAGCTAAGTCATCAGGGAGATCGACACAATCATTGGGGGACCTCACATTAGTGGTAACACCAGGAACACTCAAAGGAATTACACAAGGGAAGCAAAGGACCCGTCAATGATTACCTATATTGTCAACGAGTCACATGCGGCCAATAAGATGGCCCCAATCACTTTCTCCCAAGAAGATGCAGAAGGAGTTCACCACCCCCATTGTGATGCATTGGTTGTAAGGGCCGTAGTGGCTAGAAACGAACTCAAATGCATGCTTATCAACAATGGAAGTTCGGTGAACATACTGTTCGGCTCCACCTTTGACCAAATGCAAATTGAACATGGGTTGATCTCCATGACCAACCCACTATTCGGATTCATTGGAGACAGTATCATCCCACAAGGATGGATCACTCTGCCCGTCGAGATGGGTTCAGTACCCCTAGTGGCCTAACACTTCATGGAATTCTTAGTGGTAGACCACATATTGGCTTATCGTAGAGTATTGGGCAGACCTGCTTTCAAAGATCTTTGGGCCGTCACTTCCATCCACTACTTATGTATGAAATTTCCAACTAAACATGGGATTGCTACGGTCCGAGGTGAACAGATGGGATCCAGGGCATGTTATTTGAACTCTCTGAGAAAGTCAGAGCCCCGAACTGTTAATGTGATCATAACTGAAGTTGCTAATGAAGTCAGTATGGACGTGAAAATGCTCGACGCCCCTGAACAAGGGCATATCTCCGAACAAGAGGAAGACGTCAACATGGAAGAGGCTCCTGAACAAGGACACCCTCTTGATGAGTTAGATCCCCAGATAATTGACTCTAAACCAAATGCAACCCCAATGGAAGAACTAGAGATTTTCTTCGCCAACCCAGATGACCCTAGTCAGGTCTTGTGAATAGGGAAGGCACTGTCCCCTAAAGCAAAAGAGGAGATGGTAAGCTTTCTGAAAAGAAACTTGGATATCTTCACTTGGAAACATGAGGACATGATGGGGATAGATCCAAGGATTAGTAGCCACCATCTTAACATCAACTCTTCATGTGCCCCTTATCGGTAGAAAAGACGTGCCCTCAACCCAAAAAGGTACGAGGCTATCAAGGACGAAGTAGGCAAGCTTAGCCACAGTGGTTTCATAAGGAAAGCCATCTACCTGAAGTGGATATCCAACTCGATCCTAGTGAAAAAACCTAGCGGGAAGTGGAGGGTGTGCATAGACTTTACCAACTTGAATAAGCATGCCCTAAAGACAGCTTCCCACTTCCAAGAATATGCTAACTTGTGGATTCCACTGCTGGACATGAACTGTTGAGTTTCATGGATGCATATTCGGGGTACAATCAGATACCCATGTTCCGACCTGACGAGGAAGCTACTTCATTCAACACAGACAGAGGACTCTACTGCTACAAAGTTATGTCCTTTGGATTGAAAAATGCCGGAGCCACATATCAGAGACTGGTGAACATGATGATCGCCGAACTAATTGGCAGAACCATGGAGGTCTACATGGACGACATGCTAGTCAAAAGCCTCGAGGCAAGCGAACACGTAAGTCACCTCGACCAAACCTTTGAGATACTTAGAAAATATAAGATGAAGTTGAATCCCCTCAAGTGCACCTTTGGGATGGCTTTAGGTCAGTTCTTGGGGTATATTGTTAACCAAAGAGGAATTGAAGCCAATCCAGTAAAGATAACAGCCTTGCTGGAAATGAGATGACCTCAGAAATCGAAGGAGGTCCAAAGCCTCAATGGTCAAATAGCCGCACTTAGTCGCTTCATCTCCAGGGCCACTAATAAGAGCTTACCCTTCTTCAAGGTGCTTAAGCAAGGAAAGAAATTCCAATGGATTTCTGAGTGTGAGAAAGCCTTTCAGGCGCTGAAAAAGCACCTTGGAGAGGCGCCCCTTTTGTCAAAACCTCAACCAGAGGAGTCTCTACTGCTGTATTTGGCAGTATCGGACGTGGCGGTCAGTGCTGTTCTAGTCAGAGAAGAAAATGAGCGGCAGTTGCCAGTATACAACGTCAGCAAATCACTTCTCCCAGCTGAAACACGGTACCCTGACATGGAGAAGTTGACACTTGCCCTCATCACAGCCTCAAGGAGACTGAGGCCATATTCCAAGCCCACTCGATCGATGTTCTTACCAACTTCCCATTGAAGCAGGTACTGCAAAGAACATACGCATCATGATGCCTACTAAAATGGGCAATTGAGCTCAGCGAGTTCGACATATTGTTCCGACCTCGACATGCCATAAAGGGTTAGGCCCTTACAGATTTTGTGGTTGAGTTTGTCAAAATCTCGAAAATGGAGACAATAATGGAACCAGCCGAACCCCTAATCTGGAAACTATTCACAGATGGATCCTCAGGAGAGGCAGGCTCTGAGGCAGGAATAGTCTTGGAAAGCCCAAAGGGTCACAAGCTAAATTGCGCCGTAAGGTTCGGCTTTAAAACCTCGAACAACGCTGTTGAATACAAAGCCCTTCTAGCGGGCCTTAGACTAGCAAGAGAAATACAGGTAAGAAGGCTCGTGGCCAGCAGCGATTCTCAGCTGATAGTGAATTAGGTCAGTGGAAGCTTTGTGGCCAAAGACAGCGGCATGGTCGCATACTTGAAATTGGTTCTGGACCTAGTCCCCAAGTTTGAAAGGTTCGAACTGATTCAAGTCCCACGCCTAGAGAATACAAATGCAGACGCCCTCTCAAAATTGGCTAGCAGCAAGGATTCTGAGTTATTAAAAGTTACCCCTATTGAACACTTGGCGAAGTCCTCCATTTCCAGAGGAGAAGAGGTACTTTGGATAGAAAGTACCCCATTATGGATGCAGCCTATTGTCGCCTATCTAAAGGATCAGACACTATCCGCTTCCAGAAGCGAGGTAAGGAAGTTGAGGAGAAGGGCTGCGCACTTCGTCCTGAAAGAGTCTTCACCTCACCACTTCTCCGATGTGTGGGAGGTGAAGAGGCCACATATATACTTAGGGTTCATGAGGGAATCTACGAAAATCACTCCGGAGGAGCAGCCCTGGCACACAAGGTTCTCCGTCAAGGCTACTTTTGGCCAACTCTGAAAATGGATGCTTGCTAGTTTGTCCAGAAATGTGACAAGTGCCAGTGCTTCTCGAACATTCAAAGGCAGTCTTCTCAGAACCTCTATGTGGTAACCAGACCCTGGCCATTCGCCAAGTGGGGCATCGACTTCATTGGTCCACTCCCTAAAGGAAGAGGAAGCACGACCTTCGCTATTGTCGTCATTGACTACTTCACCAAGTGGGTCGAGGCTGAACCTCTTGCGAAGATTACTGAGGCAAACACTACAAAATTCGTCTGGAAGAATATCATTTGTAGGTTCGATATTTCCCACTCCTTAGTGTCCGACAATGGGAGACAGTTCGACAACCGAAAAATGCGAGAATTGTGCGATGAACTGGGGATAAAAAAGGATTTCTCAATGCCTCATCACCCGCAAGCGAATGGACAAGTTGAGGCAGTAAACAAAACCATCAAGCATACCCTGAAAAGGAAGCTTGACACATCAAAGGGGGCTTGGGTCGATGAACTTCCCCACGTCCTCCGGGCAATCCGAACCACAAGCCGAATTGCAACTAGGGAAACACCATTCTCAATGACCTACGAGGCCGAGGCCATGAGCTCAGTCGAGGTCGGGGTCCCATTACACCGTCGAATACACTTCAACGAGATCAGTAATGACGGGGCCCGGGTGAACGAACTCTACCTCTTTGAAGAAATGAGGGAAACCTCCCAAGTGAATTTGACAAAGTATCATAGGAAGATGACCCGCTATTATAACTCCAAGGTCAGAAATTGAACTCTTCGCCTGTGAGACCTCGTCCTCAGGAGGGTCTTCCAATCATCAAAGCCAACCGGGTCAGGAGTGTTTGGATCGAATTGGAAGGGTCCTTACCGCATCCGCAAGGAATTCCAACTTGGTACTTTCGAAATTGAAGACATGGTAGGGAAAGCACTACCTCATCAATGGAACATCGAACACTTAAGGAAATATTATTAGTAATGGATTTTGGTTTCAATCTAATCTCGATGTTGTCTGATAAGTGTGGGTCCCGATCCGATCTCATTTGTGAATTGCCTATCTTACCGAGCGCTGAAAATGCCTTGGTAATGGATAATGTAACTTTTTCAAGTATTAATGCTTCAGTTCTTTGTCACATTGGTTATCAAATTGTTACCTTAGTCCCTCAGTATTATTACTTAATTGAGCTGATCCGATTATTGTTAAGAGACGCTTGATGATTACTTAAGTGGTCCGATCTTTTGATTGTTAAGAGGCACTTTGTCTTAAAAGTTTGTCATTCATATATGCGCAAACAGATCAATACGATAAGAAAGTAGAAGCAATAACACTTGGTAAAAAAAATTCATTTCATTCACTTCAAATTTACAAAAGGCCGAAGCCATTACAAAATAAGCCCTACTCTACGGAAGGCTCCTTCCCGCCAGCCTCGGAAGCTGGAGCGTCCTCTGCCAGCCTATCAGGGCGACCTCCAATAGGTCCCCCGAACTCTGCCTCTAAAGAGGAGATGTCCAAAGTATGATGGACCTCTTTCAGCCGACCCAATATGCCTTGGGCACTCCAGAAGGCCCAGAAATTTGCAAAGTCGTCGTATAGGGAATGTTCCTTGAAGTGATCAATGAAATTCTGAACAGTCACTTCTCCTGCCTCCTTCAGCTCCTCTTTCAGGGAGGCAATTTCCTCAGACAGGGCCTCCATCCTCTGCCTCAGCTCAGCTTTCTTTTTATTGGAGGCCTCCAGAGCCTCCGTGGCGAGTCGGTGATACTCGTTGGCATGATCCACTCTTCGGGTCATGGCAGCCACCTGACACTCCACTTCATAGAGCTCCTTTTTCAGCCGCTCTATGTCTCTAGCAGTAGTCACTAGCTGGGCCTCAGCCTCCGTCCTCCTTTTCTCTTCCTCCACAGCCTAGGCCCGGGCCTCCCTCACCTTGTCCCCATATTGCATCGCCTCCTCGAGGCGCTTGACGAGGTCCTCTCTCTTGGCATTGAGGTCCTTCACCAAACCCTCGAGTTGGATGCTGGTGCTTAGAGTCCGGGCCACACATGCACTATTGGCCGCCACCAGCTCCTCGACTGTGCAAGAAGCGGTGTGGTCCCTCTATTCTTCAGTCCAATACTTATTGTGGACCATCACCACTGCAGCCGTTTCTTGGGGGAGAGCCTCCAATACTTCTTTAACTGGCTCCTCGAAGTTTGAGCCCAGGAAGTCCACCTCCTTTTGAGAGATGGCCTCTTTTTTTCTTAGGCTGCCCCGGCATCTGGGCGAGAGGGACGGTAGTAACTGGGACCTTGGCTGGGGCAGGTGGAGCCTCTGATGGCACAGACGTTCTCTCCAGAATGGCCACCCTGGTAGGAATTGTGGTTTGCCTCAGAACAGGGGTTGGCTTCACCACCGTTGGCCGCTTGGAAGGTGCAGCAGGTTTCTTGCCCTTCCGAAACAGATTTGCCTCTGAATCCTCAAGCACCTCCTCCTCCGTCGGAGGCGGGAGCCTCTTGCTGGCATCCACTAAGTCCTTCATCTACTTCTTGTAAGAGGAGAAGGAGGTCTTCAAGGCCCTCGCCTCCGCCATTATCTTCTGTATTGTTTTGAAGTCGGGCCGGAGAGGCATCTTCTTATTGAAGTTATCTGTAAGAAATAAGTAAATTAGTACAAGTGTAAACGACTCGAAAATATTCAAAGGTATTTGTTTCGAGACATTACCTTGTGAGGTCATCAGGTTGTGCGTTACAAAATGGAGGTTTTTTCTGATCAGCTGATGGAACAACCTCTTCTTTGGAGGCAGCTGATAGATCACGCAGATGATCTCGAAATCGTTTGAGGACAGCTCACACCGAGGAAGAGTGCCTTCAAAAAATAAATACGAGTTAGTTATAATCCGAACCGAAGAGAATAAAGAAGAAATACAGCTACAATACTCACTAAGTGTTGAGTACTTCATGGGGACCGTAAGAGGTGCCTGGGGGTCCCCCTCCATCGTATCCCATCTCCCGACAGTCCAGCACCACGAGCTCTTCCACTCCTTGATGGAGCTCGACGGATCGAGCATGAATGGAGTGTGGAAATCCCAAGAGGTTAGGTATTACCAGCCCCTGGTCTTATCCCCCCAACTGTTACTTTTGGAATATAGAGGGTCTGAAAAACTGAGAAGGACATCTCCACACCTAGTGACGCCTTTTTCCATAACATCTAGGAGCCCACCATCGGGCTCCAGGAGTTTGAATTCAGTTGGGTCGGTGCTAAGCCGTAAGACCTAAGTACCATCCGAAAAAATGGGTGAATTGGAAGCCTAAGGCCAGCCCTGAGGATCGCCTCGCTTATCGCTACATACCCTGGCCTAGGGTAGCAGGCCTTCTCGTCAAGCTCGGGTAGGATTAGGTCTATGCTATCAGGTACCCTATATTTGGTCCTAAGTCTTTTCAGGTCGGCCTCCTTTAGCTTGGAGGGGTAATCCGACGCCCCTCCAATGCACATACATGTCTACTGGGCTGTCCGACCTCTTCCAAATATTCTCCCCCTAGTATTACCTCGGCTACTTCGGATAAGGTCGCCACAATGGGCTCGTCCATCCGTACTAACTCCAGCCCCCTCCCCAAACTAGCACTATCCTCGGAGGCCATAGTCAGAAAGGAAAAATCTCAAAATAGTTACTAAAACTTACGAGTTTGAGTGTTCCCCAGCCGAAAATGGTCAAAAAGTGGTGTGTGGTCGTTGGAAAATCAAAGTTTTCGCCAAAAATGCTTGAAGAATGCCGGAAACGCAAGGAGATTTGAGAGCAATGGAGTTTTCTTTTTTTTTTTTTAAGAGTAAAAGACTGCAAAAGTTCTCAACTCCTCTTTTTATAGAGCTCTCCAACTAATCTCCACCGTCAAATTCAAATGCAATCAATCTAGGCCGTTGAAATGAAACGCCAGATTTGATCTACGCCTGAGATCTTGCTGTGATCCTCATGCTCACATATAACGCGTCACCTCGGTTACCACCAACTGTCAACGATAAGTAGCCGTAGCAGCCTTTTAGAGGAATGGGCGTTGCATCCAACTGTCACCTTGGAAATACGTAGCAGCTGTCAAATCATTTAACGTCAGACACGCCCGCCTCGTATCGAGCTCCTCACTCAACTTTACAAAATTTAGGCGCACCTGACGCGGAGTCTCCTGTGGGTCATCACCTCGATCGCTGCACTCCCTCCTAAGCTTTACAATATTTTAGCCATCTTCCAACGCGTTGTCTCTTGCGGGTCAACGCACCGGTAGCAGATGAGCTCCTCACTCAACTTTACAAAGTTTAGGCACACCTGACGTGGAGTCCCCTGTGGGTCATTGCCTTGGTTGCTGCACTCCCTCCTAAGTTTTACAAAATTTTAGCTATCTTCCAACGCGTTGTCTTCTGTGGGTCAGTGCACTGATGGAAGATGAGCTCCTCACTCAACTTTATAAAGTTTAGGCGCACCTGACGCGGAGTCCCTTATGGGTCATCACCTCGATCGTTGCGCTCCCTCCTAAGCTTTACAAATTTTAGCCATCTCCCAATGCATCGTCTCCTATGGGTCAGCGCACTGGTGGCAGATGAACTTCTCAGTCAACTTTACAAAGTTTAGGCGCACCTGACGCCGAGTCCCCTGTGGGTCATCGCCAAGGTCCCTGCATTGACAATCTCCCCACACATTGTCCAGCTTGTCAGCACCTCGACCTCATGTAAATTTTTTCCCTCACACAACGGCGAAGATTTAGCGCCTCTGCCCATGATCAACGCTTCGATGAACACAGAAAATCGACCCTCAAGTTCTCACAAATCACGGTCCCCATCCCGAGGCGCATACACTCGATCGGGAAGACAAGTCCACCCATGATATAAATATTCATATCTGGACTTGGGGGACCATTGTGGCACCTCTAACCGAACCACTTCGGAAAGTCACGCCTCTAACTGAACCACTTCGAAAAGTCTACCACCACATCAGGCGAGGCGTGGAGCGCTTGTACGAAGTGGTTCCCCTAAGTGGTTCCAATTGAGATGATCTGCTATCACACTACAAGGCATAGGTAAAGCGCCCTATCCCCCTGAATTCGAGGCAAAATGATCCTCGTGGACATCGGCCTGAGAATCCGCCGCCAATTTCAGAATGAGATCTTTGTCAAGATCTTTTCTGCCCCTAAGGTTTAAAGTGATTTGACGTCTCCATAAGGCTAGTTGATGTGACCTATCAACTTTATGTCAACTCAACTCGGGAGAAGTAACTACTTGCCCACTCTACAGACGCGGCTGATTGACGCCTATGAGCAGACGCCTCATACCGTTCAGATGTATACACGCGTCTCACATCCAACGACTCTGCTCACCTATAAATACCCAAAGCTTGACAAGAGACAAAGGTAATGAAACTCTTCATATTTAGCACTCCATAGCAAGCAAATATATATTCTCCTTCCTACTATTTTGCACAACCGTGGTACTATACCGATCACCTGAGCCTAACTTGACCGTCGGAGTGTATAGGTCGCCGCCACACCCTCTGGTCCCGATCATGTGCATCTGACCGTACGTTAATTGTGCGCAGAGAGGAATACATGGAGTGGCTATCGGTTGACCACGTAGAAAGTCCAGTTTTCAAGGTCAACAACAATAACTGGTAAAATTTTTTGAGGCATATTAAAATGAAATTGATAGAAGCCCGTTGTTGTAGCAGGTGTGGCAAATCAGGAATGGGTGGTCCGCGATGGTGGAAACCACTGTCGACGCTGAATTTGATGGAAAAAGGCAGCATGTTGGGCACGAAAACTGAATTTTTTGTTGATTTTGACCATATAAATTTGTTGTTTGTTCAATTTGTTTATAAAAAAGTGTTTGGGGGTTGATGGCAGCTGTTTGTGATGTGAGCTCCGATATTTTGGGCATTGGTTGGGTGGTGGTTGGTAAGATGAAGGCCAGTTGCTCTATGTGGGTTATTTGTAAGTTTTTGAAATATTTAGGAGTAAGATTGCAAATTTTTCTTTAATTTTCTTTTATTTTATTTAAATATGATGGTATATTAGTGATTTTACGTTAAAAATTGGTAAAAATGACTTTTTTTTGCAATGAAATGTGAAAATAGGGGTGAAATGTCAAAAAATAAAAGGTATGGACATTTTGCACAGTAACATTGGAAGGTAAGAACGTTTTGCGCTAATTATCCATGGTTGTAACTATGTTGGGTTAGATGAAATGGCCACATCGTATTGATGAATGA